GGGAATCGAAATTGACGAGAGGGGAGGAAGGGGGGTCGAATCGAAACTGAATCACAGAAGGGGGGTGGGGGGGGTGGTGGGGGGGGTGGGGGGGGAAGATTGGGGGAGAGTCAAATTTGATTGATCGAAACAATCAGTATACAATCGAGGTCCCATCTTTCAAATGTTTGGAATTGCTGGCGCTCTGGCAAGAGCGAGAGGATGCTGACGACGATATAGGGTTACCTCTTTTTTCAAATCTCTAAATTTTGAAACTGCCAACCTAAATGTATACTCCGGCTATAATTAACACTGGAGCTTACATGTTATATTTCATTACAAGCGCCCCATCAACTACTAAGGTAGTTCCTATACGTGCCCTAGGGCTTTTATCTGGGTGATTACGGTAAAAGAATGGGGCATATGATGATGCCCCCAATAGTAGCTCGGAAATCCTCACTCAAGAAAGGTCACAAAAGTAAGCCAGCACAGCTTGTTCAATCCAGCAGCTGCATATCATAACAATTACAAACCAGGAAAGTGTTCACAACGTTTTGGTCAGTTGGAATGAGCGTGGTGATGACAGGAACGGACGGGGGGGAGTGTGAGGAGTGTGAGGGAATGGGGGCATTGGTGGCTCCTCCACTGGCAGCAGATGCTGCTGCAACAGATGCAGCAAACCTATCTCTCGCCCTCTCCTTCTCCCTCTCCTTTTCCTTCTCATTCTCCGAGCCCCTCTCCCTCTCCTTCCAATGCCTCCTTTTGCTCCCACTACTGCCATCAGCAGGACCACCAGCACCTGCAACACCACCACCACCACAACTCACAGCAGCAGCACTCGCAGTAACAGCGCCCTTTCTGATCAACCCAGAGCCTTCACTGGCGCTCCTCTCTATGGGGTCCAGTCGGCAAGGCGAGGGGGAGGAGGCATCAGCACCAGCAGCACCACCAGCCACAGCAGCAGCCGAAGCAGAGGCTGGCAAAGACGACGAACCGAGGGGCAGCCTGGAACCCGACGGGGCAAATGCTGCTGCTGATACGAATCGACGAGAGGAAGATGTGGAGTGGAGGGGGAGCAAGGGGGAGGGGGAGGAGGTCGATGACGGGGGGGAGGGTCGAGGGTTGCTGGTGGTGGTGTGGGAGATATGAACAGCGGGAAGGGAGGGGTCAGAGGATGCAGAGAGTCGGGGGATTTGGCGGCGGGTGGTGGAGGATGAAGCACCGCTGCTGCTGCTGATGGTGGCCGTGGTGGTTGTGGTGACGGTGAGAGTGCTCGTGGTGCTCGTATCGCATGCACTGACTGCGCTGCTAGCGTTACCAGCATTGCCTGCGCTGCCATGACTGCTGCTGTTGCCCGTCCCGTTTGCCTCTCCACCACTGCCACTGCTACCCCTGCTCATGCTGCTGCTGCTCACCACAGATGCTGAGGCTGCACCTCCAGCAGCACTAACACGGGGAGGAGCCCTTCCACTTCCCTCCATGCTGCCACCCTCACCCATCCCTCCGACACCACCACAAGACGAAGGATGGGCAGAAGCACGGGTATGGGTGAAGAAGAAGTAGACGACGGCGCTGATGTCGTCGGTGCTAACGGGGGGTGGGAGCATGTGTCACTGCAGTTCTGCTGCATGTACCACGGCTGCTACTACCTCTTGGGGCGAGGGTGACTGCACGACGATGGCAACCACAGCCTCGTGGGAAACGAAATCCCACACCTGGAAGATAGATGCGGAATGGGGAGGGATGCGGAATGGGGAGAGAGGGGGAATGGGGAGGGATGCGGAATGGGGAGCGATGCGGAATGGGGAGCGATGTTGAATGGGGAGGGAGGCGGAATGGTGAGGGAGGGGGAATGGGGAGGGAGGGGGAGCCGATGAGGAAGTTGTTACAAGGTTCCTCTCAAGTCACCACGGCTTCATTGGATAGCACATCCCTTACCTGGGAGAGGGAGGGTGGGGGAAAGGGGAGAAAGAAACCAAAGGCTATTGGTTACAGCCAACGACCAGAAGGCCCAGGAGCACCCAAGCAGCAAAGGAAAGCAACAGCAACTCTCACCCCATCTATGAAGCAGTGCTGCTGCCCCACCCTAAAAGACCGCACATTACCGCAGAGACCCCCCCGTAGCCTCAACCATTAGTGGCCAGCACCATGAAGCGGTGCTGCCGCCCGAGCCTCAGAAACCGCACGTCTGGTTAAACTGATGCCCCATATGCGTTCATGAGCGCAGATCCCAGGCAGTGCGACATGGCGATGAGGGGACGAACCCACCACTTACCCCATCAGTGGCCAGCACCATGAAGCGGTGCCGCCACCCCAGCCTTAGAAACCGCACGTCCGGGTCGGCAGTGACCCCGTACGTGCGCATGAGCGTGGAGCCCAGGCAGCTTGACATGGCGATGTCGGGCGCCTCCTCGTGCAGCAGCCAGGCACACTCCACTCCCTCAAGGTCCGCTGGGATCGGGTGCACCCGGCCTCCCGACACCACGATGCGAAACCGCTCCTCTGGATGTTTGGTAGGGGGGAAGAGAGAGGAAAAGGGGGAGGGGAGAAGGAGAGGGGAGAAGGGGAGGGGAGAAGGGGAGGGGAGAAGGAGGGAAGGGAAAGGAAGGCAGGTTGTGAGCAACAGGAGTGGCCAATCAGATTTCAATCCCTCCGTGTGTCAAGGCAGCGGGACATGGTGATGCTGGATTGTGGTGCGGGAGTTGGCAGGGGAAGGGGGTCGGGGGAGGAGGCACATAGGCTGGGGGAGAGGGAATGAGAGATGGTTGAAGGGGGGAACGAGAGATGGTTGAAGGGGGGAACGAAAGGGAGAGGGGAAGGGAGGGAGGGGCTGGGGTGCATTTGGGTGGTGGTGACCTGGGTGTATGTGCATGTGAACGTGCATGCGCCATGGCTTCCAACGCGCTGACCTGGATGGGCGGGCTTATGATCGGTGGTGAGCTGCAGAGCGGATACCTCCACATCGCCGTCTGCACCCCCCTTGTCCCTGCTGTCCAAGCTGTCATGGCCGCTGGGTTTCACAATCCCCACCACTTACCGCGCTGTCCGGGTCGAACGTATGTGGCCTATGCGTCTTGAGAATTCCCGGCACCATGTTGATGTTGGCAGTTTGCAGGCCGGTTGGAGAGGTAATAGGAGGCGGCAGATTCATGTTCGCACTTTCGCCGATTTCTACTCGTCCAATAGCCGGTTGCGGGTTGTTCGTCGAACCTTCGGACGAAGCCGCATGTGGTCGCTGATTGTCGCCAGGTATTTCGGAACGCTGATTGGTTATTTGCTCTTGCTGTCTTTGATTTGTCGTTGGTGCGATCGTGTCGTGTTGTGTCTGAGGTAGTCGGCTCCGAAGTGCAGATATCACGGATTCAGCTTCGGTCGTTTCAGCTCGCAGACGCACCAATTTCTGCTGGTACAACTCGTGAGTAAGTCATACTTCTTCAAGCGCTGCCGCCATTTCTTCAGAAGTCATGGCAGTAGACGCCGACTGATCCACCATTTTGCAGAAGTTTGGGGCATCTTTCGGCACGCTCGCACTGAAAACACAGTCGTGGCTGTAGGTCATTATCAGTGAATATTACTAGGAGAGCGGATATGTAGTAAGCACACGGCGTCAGCCTCCCTAAGTGTTGGTATTGCAGCGGAACTAGAGCGCACGGTTGAGGATCATTGGCTTTGATGGCCAAGTGTAATGAAGCACAAAGAGCGTGTGTCGAAGGATTGAGTAACGAGAAACAATGCAAGTAAGGCAACATCAAAACAGAAGGGAATTTGGATATAGCTAGCTTAGAGCACACGGTCGTGGCGCGGCAGAGCTGCGACGTGTGGTTCGTGAATTGGCGCGAAGCGTTCAGATCTAGGCATGCAACAGCAAGGCGGGCAACAATGCATGCGGCTCGTCAGAAGGCCACATTTGGGAACGCGATTTGAATTTCGTGGCAGAGCTGCGCGGCAACCCCGTCATAGCAGTGTACGTCTTACTGACTAAAACATGTGATAAGGAAATACCATTTCCTTGCACATTTAATCTTGCTCACGAGCAGGCTGTTGCAGGTCCTGGAAGAAATCACGGCAACAACAAACTTAGGACTGCTCAGAGCGTGTTCTTACCAGCCTCTGAGCAAAATCGGCTCTCGCCTGAGAGCGTGTTCGAAGAATTGTATTCCCAGCTAATTCGTTTTACAATCGCATTCTTCACCGCAATGAATCAGCTCTCGTCAAAATCGCACTGTACAGATTTGCGCGCGTCTGAAATTTTGGCGCATGAAATAAGATTTGAAAACACGCCTTGAATCTCGTCAATCCCAATCTCGCGTCACACCACAAGGAACCACATTAAACTGTTTCGCGTCAAAATTACGCGACACTGTATCTCGCGAGTCTGGGAAGAGGCCGCGAGAACATGCTCTCACATTGATCCCTGTATTAATGTGGTGAGAATGCAATCGAAGGTCATCATGTAGTAGGCAATTCAAATGTGTGTGGTTGAATAAAGCACGATAGCCTGAATTCTTGGCAACAAAAGCCATCTCATTGTTGGAGTTGTAATCTAGTTTAGTAGTTTCTAAACAATAGGGAAGTAATCACAAACGACGAGTCCACCTGGATTTTGCATGGAGCTTTCCGCTGATTCTGCACAAAATGCTCTCCCTGAGCGAAGCTGGTATTTCTGGTAGGTTTTCGTAACAAAAGACTGTTTGGATGGTGATTTCAGGAACCTACTGCTCAACTGTTGCGAGAAGGTGTGTCGTTCGTATAGCTATCCTGCCCAAATCGCGTAAACCCTGATTGTGGTACAGAGGCAGTATCTTGACACGGTGTTCGGTGCTGCTGTTTTCCAAACGTTTCAGAAAGACACATTTCGGTTCCGTGATACTGTATGTCAGTTGTTGGAACTGTATGTACTGTATCTGGTGAAAGAACCCAAGCGTCGAGAATTTGAGCTCTTGCTGCGATTTTTGGGCATAAATTATGCTCCAGTGCAGGTGCGCACTTGCGCGCAAACTGGCGCTCGGTCCGTCCGGAACACGGAGTCAGATGGACGTCCTTCCCCACCATGCCACCGCTTTCGGGCGACGACATGTCTGGCTGGTTGGTTCCTCCAGCCAGACGGCGGACCCTCCCCAGGCATTACTCAGACATCACCACACTCCCGGAGAGAGGCCCTGATGCCATTCTCGTGCCAGCAGCTACTACTACCGTCAGCCCGCTTCAGCGCCATACTAGATCTGGAGCTTCTCGAACAAGCTCAGCAGATCCCGTCCATCCTCCTCGTATCCATCGCGCGTCTCGCCGCTCTCATTCCATCATGCCGCAGCCGCCGCCGCCGCCGCCTCGTTTTCGCCGTCCGCCGTCGCTCCCGCCCGCCCTCCTCGCCCTGCTGGCAGGACTGCTAGTGGTTTCGTCGCTCGCCGTCGGAAGAGCGACAGATTGGACGCCACCAGACGCGTCGCGCATCTCGCATCATGGAGAGTCGCACGGGTCGCGAGCGTCGCTCGACATCCCCAGTCCGACTCAGCGTCGCACGAGTCTCCTCGAGGCCGCTCCTTCGCGCCCACCGGCCGCCGGGCCCATCCTCGATGGCTCGCAGCGTACGCCCGCCTCGCCGCCGCCTTCCGTCGTTTCCCTCTCTCGCCATAATGACCCCTTTCTTCTCCCACTCTCTCGGGCACGCCCACGGACAGTCTCCCCACTCACATCCCATGCTTGCGTCGCGTATCAAGCCATGCAATGCCACGAAGTCACACCCTTCTCTCAGCTAGGAACAACTATTTTTTTCCCGTTTTTTCTTCTTCTTCTTCTTTTTCTCGTTTCGCCCTCATTCGCCCACTTTTTCCCATTAGCGCCCCCTCCCTGGTCCTTCGCCCATTTCCAGTCCCTTATTCGCGCACTTTTTCCCCTTTCCCCACGCACCCCGTTTTTCAGTTTCGCCTGTGTTTCCCCGCAATTTCGACACTTTCCCCCATTCCCCCATTTCGCCCACTTTTCCCCTTTTCCAATTCCGCCCACTTTTTCTCTGTGGTGGCCTCACCGTGTGTGCTGGCCTTGCTGTGTGTGCTGGCCTTGCCTGGCCGTGTGAGTGCGAGGGAGAGCGTGCTGCGTGCTGCCAGTGTGTGCGCTGCTGGACCTCAACGCCGCCTGGCACCTCTGGCCCACCAACTCCAACCGCTCACGCCGCTGCGATCAATGGGACTACATTCAATGTACCCGACAAGGCTTCATCGTATCCATGTACGCCGCTTAAGGGTTTTAAATTTCGGGTCTAGGAACACGTTTTATATCGCGTTCCCAAGTTTAACCGCCACCAAAAGTTCTCAAGCGATTCTGGGGGGAGGGAAGGGGGGAGGAGGAGGGGAGGGGCGTCTTGTACTGTTTTGGCCTTTATTGTATTGCTTTGTATCTCTTCGGTATGCGTATTTATTGTGAACCTGCGTGTGTATTCCATTCAACATGCGCCCGTGTGCATATTCAATGTAAGCCCGTGGATGGGTGTGCACACACATGCCCCCGCCCCCCCCACCCCCAACCCCTCCTCCAACAGTGACCTGTCGTTAGGTGCTGTCAATGCAACCATGCCGCTCACTATCTTCTCTCGCATGCCACAACTCAGACGCCTGTAAGTCCACGTCTCCTCTTCTCTGCATCCCTCCTTCCCTGCCCGTTGCTCTGCTCCTCTGATTATTCCTCTCACCTCATCCCCTGCATTCCCCCAGTGCCCTTCTCTTTGATCTCTTCGGCTCGCATCGCAAAAAATGTATGCTCGCAAAACGATTGCGTAGCATTCGCGCAAATGCTTTGCAAACGTTTTGCGAACATGTGGGTGAAAATTCATGGCGGACTTAGATTAGAACACTTGGCGAATGCTTTGACAACATTTCCCGAAACACTTTTTGGTTCACGACAGCGAAAGCTTAGAGGTGTCTTTTCGGTAATCTCCGTGGTTCGTTTACAAATGCATGGCGGCGTTCTTTCTACAACTTTTGCAGTAAACATGTAAATGCATAGAGAAGTTTATGCTCACCATTTTTAGTATTCAGCATGATTTGTTGCAAACGTTTGGCGGTGTTTTTCATGGATCCGTTTTTGCAGGCTGCAGTACCCTTTTGGGCATGGTTCAGTACAATTAGGGCATGCCTCGTTTGGATTTACTTAAAATGCAACAAGCAAATTATTTGATATATTAAAAAAAACATCTACACTACAGTACACAACCACTATGGCCCAACCGCCCTTGCCTACCAGCACCCCTATGTGGGTCCCGCACTAACACAAAGAGAAACTGAGCGGCGGCACACCAGGAGCAGCAATTCTTGAAACTGGATTGGAATTCCTGCACGTTACGTTCAGAACTTGTTATCTCGAAATTAATCCAAGGTCGAAATCACCAACAATAAGGACAATGCTTACAACAACGAAGTAGCGCGACGCTGGATATTGAGTCGTGCACATTAGGTTCAAACATTGTAATCAAATTAGTTATATTCCATACGACAGCAATTACAAGAGCCAACTTACCGGAGGAAATAGCACGTGGTAGGCTACAAATTTCTGCACGTCATACGAGACATTGTTGTGAAATTAGTCCGACGATCAAATGACCAGCGAGACTTACAATTGGACTTACATGGGGAATTATCTCGATGTTGGACAGAGTTACATAGCTAGCTGCGATAAAGACAAGCATCGTGAGGACACATGCGAATCATTAGTTTGATTGATACGTCAAGTAACAAATGCCTTCATACCCCCATGGCGTGCTGTGTGTGCCCGTATCGTGCGTGCATGGCACCCTCCACCAGCAGCCCCACCTGGAATCGCCCCGCACACCACTCCGACGCCGGGCGACTACCCACCGCTGTCACGCCCGCACTGCTTGGAGAGAGGAGGGGGTGGCAGGGGGCGGAAGCGGGAGGGTGGAGTGACGGTGTGCGCAAGAGTCGGGGAAGAGCGCACAAGACATGGAAGAACAGAATGGAGGCTGCACTCCTTGTGGCGGCTGCACTCCTCGTGGTGGCTGCACTCCTCGTGGCTGCCTCACCATGAGGGCCACGCGTGCACAGCACACTCACACGATCACACGTATCAACGTGCGAACGCCACACTCTCCCCCACACTTCCTTGCCCTGTCATGCAGCAGGCCCTTCCCACTGCCCCCCACACTCGCACGTGCCTGCGAATGCCCTCTCATGGGCCTCTCTACTCCAGCAACCCATCCGTGGCACCTGTATGACCCCCCCCTCTCCGCCTGGCCATGACTGTTCACCTGTAGTCGAAGTAACGGTGCAGGGAGGCGAGGGAGGAGGAGAGATGGCGCGAGGAGAGAGACTCGTGGTGCTGCCACAGATGCACCTGATGCCATGCACCCACGCCATGCACCCATGTGATGCCATGCACCCATGTGATGCCATGCACCCATGTGATGCCATGCACCCATGTGATGCCATGCACCCATGTGCCATGCGCCCATGCCATGCCATGCAGCCATGTGATTCCATGCAGCCATGTGAAAGAAAGAGGTGAGTAAAGGCAAGGAGAGTGGTAGGTCGCATGGAGAGGCGTGGCGTGCAAGAGCCAAAAGGGGGTGGCATGGGCACGCAACAGGCAGAACAGAGGGCACACGGATGGGCTGCCAGGGATGGCTTCACACCGCCATGCATATAGCAAGGCACATGTATGCACCTTGGGTGGCAGGTCGTGCGCATACGCCATGGCGCTCACGTCGTCTGGCAGCGCACCACCCATGGCGCCAGCATGCCCCCCTTCACTGCTCCTCGGGCCTGCTGCTGCTGTGCCCAACCTGCAGCGCACACACGATGGACGGATGGATGGGGCATGCGCGTGAGAAGGGGAGTGCACGAGAGCGGATGCTCTCCATTCCGCTCTGCCCCCTCCACCTTCCCACACACACTACTAGCCATGCCTCTCTGCACGAGTCACGCCGCACCGCTGCTGCGCCAAGCACACACGTGGCAAGCACACACATGGCAAGCACAGCTCCAGGGGCGAGGGGGAGAAAGAGCAGCTGGGACGAGCGAAAAGGGAGAGAGGGCACGAAAGGGGGATCGAGACGGGCATAGACGGAACGAGTACAGGAGAGAGGAAAAGGACAGTGGCGAGAAGCGAAACAAGGGAAGAGATGTTTCACCACCGTGCTCGCATCTGCTGGCGTCCGCGCACTTGGTGGCCGCCTCCATGCGCGCATCTAGGTACTCCGCCAGGCGCCCCGCCTCCCGAAGATACCGCTTCTGCGTGCCGCCTCCTCCCCCTCGCCCCTCCTTACTCTCCCGCCCCCCCAATGGCGCATTAGCTCATGAACATGCAGATAAGAATGACATGGGTGAACAAGACTAGTCACCTACGAGCTGCTTGAAACGATAGACCATCGTGAAACGAGATCCTCAGCATAGGGCGCACTAAGAACGACCATGGTAATCGAAGCCTGTGGGAGAGGAAGGAGCTGCTCACTAGGGGGCGCGAAGGCGAGAATGGGAGCTGAAACTGATGCAGATAGAACTGCCGAGGGCTATTATTGTAAGTAACGTCTAGCTGGAAGGCATGAGAGGGCACAAGGGGGCAAGTAAGGAAGGGATCAGAAGTGTGTGGTGGGCTGGAGTGCTGGCATGTGGGGTGCAGCGTGGTGGGCTGGGTGGTTGGGGCGAGCAGGTGGTTGAGCTGGATTAGCCGCTCTGGAACCACTTGGCAGATTTTGATTGGTTGGACGAGGTGCAGGGGCTGAGTTGGATGAATAAATTTTGTTGGGTTCGGTTGCAGGTGAAGGGTGGGGGCAAAGGGTGTGTGATTGGTCAGCACGTCATTTTGTGAATAGGGGCGTGTTTCTACAGACCCGAATATCAAGCAAATAGGACCTGAAATTTTGGATCCCAAAATCCGCGCGCTCTATAGCACGCTGTAATTTGCGATTCAATTCGGTTCAGTTTGGTATTCACAAATTTCATAAAGCCGTGTTTTGCACCGATTCCGTTGGACTACGCCCTTCTTGGTGGTTGGATGGAGGTGTTGTAGCCAACACTTGTTACTATATATGCTAAGACGTTTTCGATATATCTCAGTGTGTGTCTTGGATTTGTTTAGTAGATTAAATCGCTTTCCATGGGAACTTGACTTTCTGAATGTATCTAGACTAATATGACTTTATGCTAAAGATAAAAAGCTACTCTTGTTGCCAAAATTGGTGCCAAGTTCATGTACTCTTACAGAACGACCGACAAGCCGTTCATAACCTGAAAAGGTCGCATATATATGTGGCAGGAAGAATGTAACAAACTTGAGGGACCTCAAAATTCAAGTTGGCTTTACAACCCTGGACCAACTCAGTTACAAGGTGTCGTTCACATATGTAGGGTTACATAATTTCCATTTTCTGCAGCCGTCGTAGATGATGCTAGAGAAGAGACATGGTTAGCATTTGCCAATAACGGCTGAATGTCTGAATGCGTGGCCGCACGGAGATCACCCACAGAATGTGGTTTGTTGAGAGATGCACAGGGGAGTGAGTGGATAGGTTTGGGGTGAAGTCTGGCTTTTAACGGAGAGGTTGTCCAAGGTGAGCTTGACTGGCAATCATGTGCCACCCGGTAGGCTGCGAGAGAGCGGGGAGGAGGGGAGGGGGGGAGGGGGGGGGGGGGGGGGGAGAAAGAGATGGAGGCATACGTTAGTGGGGGGGCGGGGGGTTGAGAGGGGTTAGTTATAGAGTGTTTACTGCCTGTCCTGCCGGGATCCCGCTCACACTTACTGCCCTCTCCCCCTCCCCTGCTTCATGCCACTCCCCCTCCTCTGTCCTCATGCCTCTCCCCCTCCCCTGCCCTCATGCATCTCCCTCTCCCCTGCCCTCATGCGTATCTGCCTCCCCTCTCCTCATGCTCCTTTCCCTCCCCATCTCCTCCAGCTGTCCCTGCCTCTCACGCCCTCACGCCTCTCCCACTCCTCTGCTCTCACTCCTACCCCCCTACCCTCACTGCAATCCATCTTTCCCCACTCTCCTGCACTCACGCCACTCCCCCTCCCCTACCCTAACACCCTCTCCCCCTCCCATGCCCCTCACGCCTCTTCCTCCCCCGCCCTCACGCCTCTTCCCCTCCCCATCTCCTCCAGGCTGCACTCTCCCTTTCCCCACTCCCCTACTCGTACCCCTCTTTCCCTTCCCTTCTCTCACCTCTCGCTCCCTCCATGGCTCTTGCGCCTTCCCACATCCCCCCCTATCACGCACCTCATACCTCAATGCTCTCCCATCTCTCCCCCTCCCCTACTCTTACGCCTCTCCCCCTCCCCTGCACTCACGCCTGCTCTCATGCCTCACTCTCTCCCTGCTCTCATGCCTCACTCCCTCCCTGCTCTCGTGCCTCACTCCCTCCTTGCTCTCATGCCTCACTCCCTCCCTGCTCTCACGCCTTCCCCCCTCCACTGCTCTCGTGCCCCTCTCCCTCCCCTCTCGCCTCTCCCGCTTGCTACTATCTGTTGTCTTCCCCATCCCTGCGGCCTCGCTTTCTTCCCTGCTGCTGCGCCTTGAACCTTTATCTGTTTTCATTCAATGAGAAGGCAGGGGATTGCGGCGCGCGAAAAAGCGGGTAACACGTTACAACGTGGGAAAGTGGGAAGCGACCCGCAAGGGAAAGCGGGAAGCGGTCCGCGAGGTGAAGCGGGAAGCGCTAGTCGCTACCGGGGGAAAGCGGGATGTGAAAAGGGGGGAATGGCAGAAACAGGAAGCGGGGGAAAGCGGCATGCCGGAAGCTAGGGGAAGCGGGTGGCGGGAAACAGGGGAGAGAGGCAGCAGCGGATTAGCGAGGGCAAGCGGGGTGCGGGTCGCAAGGGAATGTGGGAAGCATGGGAATGCGCGAAGCATGTGAATGCGGGGAGCACGGGGAGCATGGGAATGTGGGGAGCATGGAATGAGGGGAGCATGGGAAAGCGGGGGCATGGGACAGCGGTGAGCATGGGAATGCGGGGAACAAGGGAAAGCGGGATGCGGGGAGCAAGGAATGCGGGGAGCATGAGAATGCGGGGAGCATGGGAATGCGGGGAGCATGGGAATGCGGGGAGCATGGGCAAGCGGGGTGCAGGGAGCAAGGGAATGCGGGGAGGATGGGAAAGCATGGTGCGGGGAGCAAGGGAATGCGGGGAACATGGGAATGGGGGATGTGGGGAGCAAAGAAATGCGGGGAGCAAGGGGATGCGGAGAGCAAGGGGATGCGGAGAGCATGGGAAAGCGGGGAGCAAGGGAATGCGGAGAGCATGGGAAAGCGGGATGCGGGGAGCAAGGGAATGCGGGGAACATGGGTATGCGGGGAGGATGGGAAAGCAGGGTGCGGGGAGCAAGGAATGCGGGGAACATGGGAATGCGGGGAGCATGGGAAAGCGGGGTGCGGGGAGCAAGGGAATGCGGGGAACACGGGAATGCGGGGAGCATGGGAATGCGGGATGCGAGGAGCAAGGAAATGCGGGGAGCATGGGAATGCGGGATGTGGGGAGCAAGGAAATGCGGGGAGCAAGGGAATGCAGAGAGCATGGGAAAGCGGGATGCGGGGAGCAAGCAAGGGAATGCGGGGAACATGGGAATGTGGGGAGGATGGGAAAGCGGGGTGCGGGGAGCAAGGGAATGCGGAGAGCATGGGAAAGCGGGATGCGGGGAGCAAGGGAATGCGGGGAACACGGGAATGTGGGGAGCATGGGAATGCGGGATGCGAGGAGCAAGGAAATGCGGGGAGCATGGGAATGCGGGATGTGGGGAGCAAGGAAATGCGGGGAGCAAGGGAATGCAGAGAGCATGGGAAAGCGGGATGCGGGGAGCAAGCAAGGGAATGCGGGGAACATGGGAATGCGGGGAGGATGGGAAAGCGGGGTGCGGGGAGCAAGGGAATGCGGGGAACACGGGAATGCGGGGAGCATGGGAATGCGGGATGCGGGGAGCAAGGAAATGCGGGGAGCATGGGAATGCGGAGAGCATGGGAAAGCGGGATGCGGGGAGCAAGGGAATGCGGGGAACATGGGAATTCGGGGAGGATGGGAAAGCGGGGTGCGGGGAGCAAGGGAATGCGGGGAACACGGGAATGCGGGGAGCATGGGAATGTGGGATGCAAGGAGCAAGGAAATGAGGGAAGCATGGGAATGCGGGATGTGGGGAGCAAGGAAATACGGGGAGCAAGGGAATGCAGAGAGCATGGGAAAGCGGGATGCGGGGAGCAAGGGAATGCGGGGAACATGGGAATGCGGGGAGGATGGGAAAGCGGGGTGCGGGGAGCAAGGAATGCGGGGAACATGGGAATGCGGGGAGCATGGGAAAGCGGGGTGCGGGGAGCAAGGGAATGCGGGGAACATGGGAATGCGGGATGCAAGGAGCAAGGAAATGCGGGGAGCATGGGAATGCGGGATGTGGGGAGCAAGGAAATGCGGGGAGCAAGGGAATGCAGCGAGCATGGGAAAGCGGGATGCGGGGAGCAAGCAAGGGAATGCGGGGAACATGGGAATGCGGGGAGGATGGGAAAGCAGGATGCGGGGAGCAGGGAATGCAGGGAACATGGGAATGCGGGGAGCATGGGAAAGCGGGATGCGGGGAGCAAGGGAATGCGGGGAGCATGGGAAAGCGAGATGCGGGGAGCAAGGGAATGCGGGGAACATGGGAATGCGGGGAACATGGGAATGCCGGGAAAATGGGAATGAGGGAAGCATGGGAATGCGAGGAGCATTGGAATGCGGGGAGCAAGGTAATGCGAGGAGCATGGGAAAGCGGGATTCGGGGAGCAAGCGATAGCGGGACGCGGGTGAAAGCGGGTGGAAGGAAGCGAGGGACAGCGAGATGCTGCAGCACGTGAAGGTGAGATGCGGACGTGCTTTCGAAAGCGGGAAGCGGGGATTTGGGAAGCAAGGAAGCGCGAGGACAGGGATAGCACGATGTGGGAAGCCGCGGGTGGCATTTTCGTACGAGGAGATCGAAGGCGGCGGGAAGCTATAGCGGCCCGCAACGGTGGGCCGTTAGCAGCGGGGGATTCGTCATTTGTTTCCTGCCCTTGTTTTCAGGCGCTGGTGATTTCGTCCAGGCTAGGCTACGCGCGCCAAGAACCTCAATTGATATCCGCGTTCACTAGCCTGACAACGGTGTCGCCTCGATCCCATCTTATAAGTCGCTACCAACTCTCTAGCATGGCTACGCATGAGCATGGATCTAGGAGGAAACGAGGGCAAGTCGAGAAAATTACAGATCCCGAATTCGAGATCTGCTACCATCTTTCCCTTAGTCGTTTTTGCCGTCGAGGGAGCAGGCTGTGGGTTGGGTTTGCGATTGTTGTTGTTTGGCTTCGACCAATCGCATGGCCCCTTTTGATGCCCAAGGGGGTTGTTCAATTTCCTCACGGTGCATAGGGTTAGGACGTGGTATCTGGGTTTCGCAACCCATTGGAGATGCGTAACCCAGCCTGGTTACAGGTCTCGCCGAACCTCGAATAGCGTGTGAGATATGGGTTGAGTTGGTTGGGGTTGGATTCAGTTAGTTTTTTTTGGCAAATTGCACATATTTTATATATTATTATATTTCAGTTACTTATGCACAATTTTAAAACTTTGTAGAAGTTTAAGTGTACAAAAACCAATCATTTATGCAAATATAAGACACGGGAACATGTTTATTATTCAGGTGTAACATTCACAAAACAACTCATTCGCATAACATCCCATCCGCAGAAGACTCGCGAATCATTTACGTGCAAAGAAACGAGAAAAAAACATTTGGCGAACACTTGGCGGACGATTTCCGACTTTATGCCCGAGCTCGAATGGTGAAAACGATCTGTGAACGTTGCACTTTTTGCGATGCGCTCAGCTCACCCTCTCGCTTCACTTGAGTACCTTCTTGTGATGCAACCAGCCTGCTCTTTAACCATCACCCTCTTTCAACGTTATACTTTCAACCAGCCCGTCCCCCCCTTGTTCCTCAATCCTTTCCTTGCCATCAATCTGTTACAGCGAGCAACCAGGAGCCCAACCATCCAAAACGACGTGTTTGACCTACTAACTTGGCACTCCACATGCCTTAATCCGCTCCTCTCCCCCCCTCCCCAATCCCATCCCCTCAGTGTGCTGTCAGACAATCTGCTTTCCGGCTCCATCACTCACCTCTCTCTGCCCTCCTCCCTGCGTGTGCTGTGAGTCAGCGTTGCCATCCCACACATGCCACTGCGCCCGCCTGCCACTGTAACGCGCAGCACACCTGCACACCTGCACACGTGCACTGGCTTGCTGTGACCTTGCTCTTTCATGTCCAGTAAACATGTTGAAGCCATTGAAGCCTACTTCCCTGTCTCTCCAACTCCCCCCGACCGTACGCCGAACCCCCTGTCCTGGCTTTCCGCACAATGGCTGTATTGCTCTCATCTACCCCAGCAGTCTCTTGTATTTTTTCTATCTTCCTTGCTGCCTAAGTGATATCTCTCCAATGCACACCCTCTTTCGACCACCCATCTTCCACCCCAGGGACCTCTCCCATACGTCAATCTCAGGCGCTCTGCCCTTAACTCTCTCTGCCCTCCCTGCACTCTCCTACCTGTACTTACCGCTGGCCCTATCCCCCCTCTAGTGCTCGTTTCCAGTTCCAACTGTTGCTAATCATGGAATGATGGATGCATGGTTGCCCTTTGAAACGTCTTCCCCTGTGCGCCCCAAAACAATAATCCTGTTCCTGCTCCGCCCTCCCGCGACCATCTTTCCATCCATCCCTGAAACAGAGACGTATCGGCCACTTCGATTTCTGACAGCCTACCATCCACTCTCAGCCGCCTCTCTCTCCTCACATACCTGTCAGTGCCTTGCCCCTCTCTGTAAATCCCTGCTGCCGTGCCGCTCCTTATATCCCTGCTGCCGTGCACTTCATGCTATGCATCAAGTGTGGGTTCTGTGTTCCTGTCTTCATTTCCATTGCCATCGTCACTAGCATCACTGCTGCCATCATTGCCACCGGGTATCGTCATCATTACTACTGCGTGTGAAGAAAAGGCATGCTATCTAAATGTGCCGAGCTAATGTTCCTAGCCCCTAAACATGGATCACTAGCATGACCAACCAACATCCGTCTCCTTGCTTTCCAAATGTTTAACAACCCCCCTCATTTCTCCCCATCACCCCCCTCCTTCATTCCTCCCTTGATTACCCCCTTCCTCCCCTCCTCCCCTCCTCCCCTCCTCCCGCTTCCCCTCTTTCAGCAACGTTGGTGCATGGAACATCACTGGGCGAGTGGAGGACCTCTCATGGCTTTCAAGCCTCACCAATCTGCATACGCTGTAGGTTATGGATAATGGAACCTGTATACGCTGTACTGGTTGCCTTGCTCCCTTTGTGCATGCACTGTGTGCCTTTCTCCCTATGCACTCATTGCCAAAACCGTTGAATAGGTGTTGCCTTGCATGTACCCCCAATCAGCCATGCATTGTTGCAGCTCAATCTGTGTAACCGTGTGCAACCATGAGCAACTGTGCAATGCTGCACACATGCATAAGACCTTATAATGCCCTTTGACCATAGCACTCCTTGTAGCATGGCTTTGCTGCAGCTAAGTATATCAATTTGGTACTTTACTGTACTCCTCCAAGTTTTTGTTGTTAAAAGGCTGCTCCCATGCACCATCCGTCTGTACCCTTGAGTGGAGTTCCTGTGAATGGGCCATAGGTATTGTCTTGGCAGGGTTGAAATTCGGCCTTTATCCCGGTCTGTGAGCTGCAGCGTGGAGAGTTTGTGTGGCTGGCTGGCAATAGTGCCTCCTCCTTTTTGCACTTCAAACAACCAACCATCGCCAACCAAGTATTTGTGCATTCAAATCAAACTACTGTTTTTCTTGCAACCGTGATCCCCCGACCCACAACACACCATCCATCCAGTGTGCTGGATGGCCTTGGCTCTGTGACTGGGGATCTGCCATCCCTCACCTTCCTTACCACTCTTAAAGCCATGCAAAGCCTGTAAGCCTTCGAGTGAGGATATTGTAGGTTGCGTGGTGTAGCAACTTCGGTTTCTCCCCCTCCCCCTCCCCCCTCCCCCCTCTCTCGTTTTCTATGGCTGTGCACAGCTCCAAGGTCTAGTCAATACACCATCTTAGGTACGGGCAGTTTGACAGGCACACCTGCCCTGCCCTGGTGACTTTTGAGTCAACTCAAAATGCACTTTGATAGGCACGCCGCACACCTGCCTTCCGTGCCCTGCCTTTCCTCTTCTTGACACTCGTCACCTTCTTGCTTTCCTCCCTTCACTCTCCTTGCCTCCTGCCCAATCCTCTTCCTTGTCCTCATGGGCATATAGTTTGCTATTTCAACACGTTTTTTCCTCGGTTGTTTTGTGATGCCTCACGGAATCATCGATAGCCTCCTCGAAAGTGTCGATTGTTCACAAGACTCTCACAGCGAGTGTTAAAGAGACAAGCAAGCAAGATCTTTTACATACAGGCTAACTAACCTGCTTTATGCACATAGACTTGCAGCTAACCTTGGTGTTCCCTAGCAAGTCTGGAAGAGGAACCGTTTATCGCCTCACACTCTCTCCGGGCATCTACTTGCAAGCACATTCTTTCATCCACTCCATCCAGTCTCACTCATTATTGTGTCCTCACAAGTGCTGCATGCGTGCCGCTCAAACTTCCTCTCAGGTATTCTGTTTTAGGCTACGTGTCCCGGGCTCACTGCCCTGCCCATGCCCAATCCTGTGCATATCCCCGCGTGTTCGTTCCTACCTCCTTGATACACTTCACTCTTCGACTTTTGAGTCGACTCAAAAGTTGGGCCTGCTTGATACACTTCAATCTCTGACTTTTGAGTCGACTCAAAAGTCAGCTCCTGCATATCCTCGTGTGTTCCTTCCTACTTGATACGCACACTCACTTCAATCTCGGACTTTTGAGTCGACTCAATAGTCAACTCCTGCATAACTACGATTGTTCCTTCCTACTTGATGCGCACTTCAATCTCCGACTTTTGAGTCGACTCAAGAGTCAGCTCTTGCATATCCTCGTCGTGTGTTCCTTCCTACTTGATATTCACTTCAATCTGCGGTCTAGCATGTTACTCTACATTCATAACTACTCTTACATTCCCTCTTTTCACACAAAGTCGTTCATCACAAAATCAAGACGCTATGATGGTTTGACTGACATGAGGTACAGCAGCCACTATTAGACATGTGCTTAACACCGAGCCGAGCCGAGCCGGCTCCGAGCCGGGCTTCAGTCGAGCCGAGCCAAGCCGAGCTGGCTTCGGCTCGCTTCAGCCAAAGGCCGGCTTGGCTCGGTGAAGTCGGCTTCGAGCCGAAGCCGAGCCATAAAACGAGCCCCGCTCGGCTCGGCTCGTTTTTGAAGCGCTGAAGCCAGGCGGGGCGGCTAGGTAGGGTTTATGAAAACGCGACACTCAAATGAGAGTCGCGTTTCGTAGGGGGTCGAATTTCGACCAGCCAACTCCCTCCCTTTCACCGCACTCCCCCCCTGTCTACAAACTTCAAAATTTCCAGCCAAATCCCTCCCTTCCACCGCACTGAACTCCCCCCCGTCTACAAGCTTCAAAATTACATAGCCAACTCCCTCCCTATCAGCGCACTGAACTCCCCCTCGTCTACAAATTCCAACCTTTCCTCACAACTACTCCACTCTCTCCCACTCGACTCCCTTCCCCATTTGCGACAAGACCTAAAACAGCGCACCGTAACTCACGCAATTTCCGCCACCTAGCTAAGCACACCACCACCTCCTAGCCTAAACCCCCCCCCTAGGCATGAGCAAAACCGGGTTTTTACCCGACCCGACCCGGTTTTGCTATACCCGACTTAAGGCTTGAGCAAAATACCCGACCGGGTCGGGTACCCGGGACCCGGATCCGCTTTTTGGGCGGGTCGGGTCCGGGTTACCCGGGCGGATATTCGATACCCGTTACCGGAAACGTTACCCGACGTGTCGGGTAACGGGTACCCGACCCGGTCGGGTAAATAATACCCGAGGTCGGGTACTCCATTTTGACATGGGCGTAAGTCCCGCTGTGATTTAGGTTTTGCGGCAAAACGGTTTGGGAGGTGAGGAGGGACGAGTGGAGCATTTGTGAGGAGAAGTTGGAGTTTGTAGATGGGGAGGAGTTAAGTGAGGTGAAAAGGAGGGAGTTAGGTTGGAGTTTGAGAAGAGGTTGGAGTTTGTAGATGGGTACGAGTTCAGTGCGGTGAAAGGGAGGGAGCTTGGTTGGAAATTAGAGTGTGTAGACGGGGAGGAGTTCAGTGCGGTGAAAGGGAGGGAGTTTGGATGGAAATGTTGGAGTTTGTAGATGGGGAGGAGTTCAGTGCGGTGAAAGGGAGGGAGTTTGGTTGGAAATTGCAGTTTGTAGACGAGGAGGAGTTCAGTGCGCTGAAAGGGAGGGAGTTTGGTTGAAAATGTTGGAGTTTGTAGACAGGGAGGAGTTCAGTGCGGTGAAAGGGGAGGGAGTTTGGTTGGAAATTGGAGTTTGTAGACAGGGAGGAGTTCAGTGCGGTGAAAGGGAGGGGAGTTGGGTGGTCAAACTTCGACCCTCAGAAAACGTGACTCTCATTTGAGAAACCCTACCTAGCCTAGCCCGTTTTTAGGTTGCCCACTAGTAGGAGGCGGGTACTAATACCCGTTTTTCAGGGTAACCGGGTCGGGCATACCCGGACCCGCCACGCGGGTATTGTATTACCCGTCCCCTAAGGCCGGGACCGGGTAAGGGTCCTGGGCATATTACCCGACCCGGACCCGACCCGGAAAATACCCGACCCGAGGTCGGGTATTGCAAAACCGGGTCGGGTCGAGTAATTACCTGGTTTTGCTCAACCCTACCGACTTCGGGTCGGGTATTTTCGGGTCGGTATGGGTCGGGTAACATGCCCAGGACCAATACCCGGACCCGGGATTTCGGGGCGGGTAGTTTAATACCCGCCTGACGGGGTCCGTGTATACCCGACCCGGTTTCCTTGAAAAGCGGGTAGTATTACCCGCGTTTTCCTACCCTGTTGGGCTACTAAACCTACGACCAAGATAGTGTTAAAAAAACGTGAGTTGGGGGAGGGAGTATTGAGGGAGTATTGAGTATTCAATATTGAGTATTCTGATGTGGTGACTGGGGCGTGAGTGGGGCCTGAGTGGGGAGTTGGTTGGGTTTTCTAGTTGGGATGGGGTTGTGTGCGGTTTTAGGGGGTTCGATTCTTTGACCCTCAGTCAATTGGTTGGAAGTCCAACCAATGTGGTGCTGTGCGGTTGGTTGGATTCAGGTTGGGGTTGCAAATTCGATTTGGGGAAATTCGATTGGTTTGAATTCCAACCACTTTCCCCCAATTCAACTGCTTTGAATACCATCTGGATCTACGAAATCCAACCCCTGCCACTCTACAATGCTTTACGTGACCTAGCAGCTCGCGTAACCTAAAGACTTGCTGAAATCTCTCTACCAGCACAACCAATGTCGCGCTAGTTCCGTCGGGTAGACGCGCTACCCGATTTCGGGTCGGGTGCCCGCTACCCGACGTGTCGGGTAACGTTTCGGGTAACGGGTATCGAATATCCGCCCGGGCTACCCGGACCCGACCCGCCGGGAAATATGCAGGAATTTGGATACCCGACCCGCCCTAAAGCGGATCCGGATCCCCGGTACCCGACCTGCGCGGGTATTTTGCTCAACCCTGCCCCCCCCCCCCCCCCCCCCCCCCCCCCCCCCCCCCCCCCCCCCCCCCCCCCCCCCCCCCCCCCCCCCCCCCCCCCCCCCCCCCCCCCCCCCCCCCCCCCCCCCCCCCCCCCCCCTTTTTTTTTTAATTACATGGCTGGGCTTCGCGCTGCGCTGAAGCCGAGCCAGGTCGAGCCAGGCTTCGGCTCAGCTTCGGCTTCAGTGAAGCCGCGAGCCGAGCCGAGCCGGCTAAGCTCGCAAAAGAAAAAAAACGGCTCGGGCCGAGCCGAGCCGGATCCGAGCCGAGCCGGCTCGGTGTTAAGCCCATGTCTAGCCACTATAGTCTTAGAAGTACAACTCAGGAAGAAGATTCGAGATCTGGATGGTTCCCAACTAGACATGGGCGTAAGTCCGAGCCGAGCCGAGCCGGCTCCGAGCCGGCTTTGAGCCAGGCTTCAGTTGAGCCGAACCGAGCCGAGCCGGCTTCGGCTCGCTTCAGCCACTGGCCGGCTCGGCTCGGTGAAGCCGGCTTCGAGCCGAAGTCAAGCCGGCTCGGCTCGGCTCGTTTTTGAAGCCTTGAAGCTAGGGTGCGGGCGGCTAGGCTAGGGTTTCTGAAAACGCGACCCTCAAATGAGAGTCACGTTTCCCGCGAGGTCGAAATTTGACCACCCAACTCCCTCCCTTTCTCCGCACTGTACTCCTCTTCGTCTACAAACTTTGACATTTCCAAACAAACTCCCTTCCTTTCGCCGCACTGAACTCCTCCCTGTCTACAAACTCCAACAGTTCCAACCAAACTCCCTCCCTTTCACCGCACTGAACTCCTCCCCGTCTACAATCTCCAACCTTCCCCTCATAAAACGCGTTTTGGATTTTATGAGGGGAAGGTTGGAGTTTATGCGACACTCTCCCCCCCTCACCTGCCTTCCTGTTTTGCGACAAGGCCTAACAGCTAAGCACCGTATCTCATGCAATTCCCGCCACCTAGCTAAGCACGCCACAACCTCCTAGCCTAGAACCCGCGTTTCTACTAAGTTATATCGCAGCGTTAATGTCGCCCGGAAGCCGAGCCGGGTCGAGCCGGGCTTCAGCTCGGCTCGGCTTCGGCTTCGACTTCAGTGAAGCCGCGAGCCGAGCCGGCGGCTCGGCTTCAGCGAGCCGAGCCGAGCCGGCTTCGTCTCGTAAAAAAAAAAGGTCGGCTCGGCTCGGCTTGAAGCCGAGCCATGCCGACTCCAAGCCGAGCCGGCTCGGTGTTAAGCCCATGTAGGCTTGAGCATGAACCCGACCCGACCCGACCCGACCCGACCCGACTTTGCCCTACCCGATGTCGGGGTCAGGTCGGGTCGGGTCGGGTCAAGTCGGCTTACCCGACCCGACCCGACCCGTTGCTCAAGCCTGAGCCCATGTCTACTCCCAACCTCTAGAAACCCCATGAGCCGAGGTCCAGGCCCCCATAACCCCTTGAAGAGTCTCGAAACAGCACAACAAAAGACCTACACCAAGTGAAGTCTAAACCCGTAACCCTAAACCCACAACAAAGGACCTACACCCTAAACCCTGAACCTTAAACACTAGGCAATGCCGCGTAACTATTTTCATTATCTTGGTGTTTGCCATTTCATGGGCAACATTGTTTCTTCAAGAGAGCTTGGGTTCTTGGACTTTTGCTGTGCGTCTTCAATATAAAATCTTCCTTGGAGTCAAAGTAGGTTGCTGCATGCACCTGTAACGCGACAAACGACTCACACTCCACAAAATAGGAAAAACGCATGCAATGCGCAAACGACGACTTGGCACGCGAGTAGCAAAAACTCGCTAATGTCTTGACTGACACAAACAACAGTGTGATACACCATTCAAGCACGCACACACGCACTAAATGGCAATGTCATATACTCACAAGCAGACATGAGCACGAGGCGAGGCGAGGAATCCTCACCGAGGAATTCCAACCATCACCTCGCAAACGAGGCGAGGATTCCTCGCCGAGGATTTTGGGGGAAAACTGATCCTCGATCCTTGGATTTTGGAGGCGAGGAATTGTTTCCTCGCCCCGAGGAAAAATTCCTCGATCCGAGACGAGGATTCCTCGCCTCCAGGGGGTTGTTGTTCCTATGTGATTCGGGCAAATTGCGAGCATCCCGTTTTTCTGCACATTGCTATTTCGACATTGAGTATGAAGCTCTCTAACCTCCAAATTCCCCCCACCCCACCGCATTCAATCTCACAGTACCTCCGCAGCCCCAACCTAACCAATATGACATCGCTATCAAATTTGGGATTCAAACCAAACCCAAAAAAACCACTGCTACCGCATTCAATCTCAGATCACCTCCCTAACCCAACCTAACCAGCTTGACATTGTCAGGTTTGGACTCCAAACCTAAAAGCCCTCCCTCTTACCACATTCAATCTCACATCACCTCCCTAACCCAATCTTTCTGCTCTACGACTAGCACTCACCCAAAGATTTGTAGAGCAGAGGGGGAGCTCCAATCTGTAATTCGTAATTCCCCCACTTAGCTCCCGTGCCACTGTTTGTACTAACCAACATCCGTGTAGAAAAAGTGGCGCGAGGATTTTTTCCTCGCGAGGAAATACAATCCTCGCCAATTTCGCCCAAGAATTTCCGAGTCCTCGAATCCTCGGCGAGGCGAGGCGAGGATTCCTCGCCAAGGATTTTTTGGGAAAACCATTCCTCAAATCGCGGAATTCCGAGGCGAGGAATTCCTCGCCTCGTTGCTCATGTCTACTCACAAGTCATTGCACGCCATGCATGCATGCACACACTAACAAGGATGACAAGCCGAGTGCAAGCCATACGGTTGCACCAACATTGGCAGCATGAAGTGGTGGCGGAATTGTGTGTCATCGTTTTGCCAGAGCTTTTTTTTGCATCTCACTTTGCTGGGTTCTTTGATCCCATACCGCTTACCGATGATGTTGAGAAAAGCTTCTGAATTTTTCCTAGAGGCTCTCATCATTGTTTCTCATTTCTTGGATAGCTTCTGGTCCTCCTCTGTGTCAGTGCTGCCATGCCCTTCCCCCCAACTCCCCAACACCCTGTGCCATTCCAATCATTGTGTGCCTTCGTCTTTGCTGCATCTTTCAAGCACCATATCGGCTGTCGACTGGAACGGGGAGTTGCCTGTGGCGTTTGGCACCCTCACCTCCCTCACTTACTTGTGAGCGCTCTTCTTTGTCTACTTTCCTCTCTTGTCTTGCCTTGACATCCATCCATTTGTTAATCTTGAATCAACCGAGTCGATTTCGCCTCCCGATCTGCACGTACGGGGTCGTTTCGCCCACTAATCCGTGCGGATCTAACGTCAACCGAGGGGACCGCAGGACCTAGAATATAATTCATCCCTCGCCTATGTCGAACAAGTCGAGTCGGGCTTTACTCGACCCCAAAAGGCGAGTCACGAGTCGGGTTGTTTGGCTGCCCGACTTGGACCGAGGCGGGTCCGACTCGACTTGCTTGCAGGGCGAGTCAGAGCCGACCCTGATGAGCAGAGGCTCGGCCCACCTTTTGAACATGCCTAGCTGTCTGTTTCAATCTGGCAGGTGCACATGTTCTAGTCTTTGTTGATAGATGGATCTTGCTCTTGTGTGCCATCATCCACCGGCATCTCCATCCATGTTTCCATCACATTCTTCAGGGACTTACACTTCCTGTTGTCTAGCCAATTCCCCCGATGGGTGATGGACTTGACATCTTTACGCTACCTGTACGTATCACACCATAGTATTCTTTCCTCCTTTCTGTCTCAAGCATGTTTGCCCCTTCAGCTTGTTTAGAGCATGCTGATTTGTGTCCTCCTCGGCATGTGTTACGTATGATGGATAAGACTAGATGAATGAAATGAAGTGGTCAATATACCTTTAGACATTGTAGGATAGGCATGAGCACAGCACGAGCTCTGCCCGGCTCATCCTCTCTACAAGCCCAGCGAGCAAAGCTCATCGTGAGCTGAGGAGCTCTTGGCTCGGCTCGAGGCTCATGTAAATCAGTCGAGCCGGGGGCTGCCTCGAGCCGAGCCGGGTCGGCTTGCGAGCTACCCTTGGCTCGGCCGCACAATATGCCCTTCATTCATAATAGTCACAACCAGGATGTTCCCCTGAAGAGGGTGTTCTCATGGAGGGATTCTAACATTTTCTTCCTGGGAAACCCGGAATCTTGGAGTGGAGTGAGGTGGGAGGCGTACTCAAGGGTGGAGTGCTAAATTCCAATAATGCCCATAAATTAATACTAGGCAGAACTGCCTTCGATTTTTATGGGAAACGAACCAGGATGACTCAATGCTCTGGTCGCCAGCGAGCCGGCACGGCGCTCGTGTCGAGCCCATCAAGCCCATCCTGCCCGTCGAGCCTGTCGAGCCCGTCGAGCCTGTCGAGCCCGTCGAGCCCGTCAAGCCCGTCGAGCCTGTCGAGCGCGTCAAGCTCGTCGAGCCGACGAGCCAGCAGTGGCTCGTCTTCAGGGAGACTCGGCTCGCAGCTTAGCTCGGCCTAAGCCCAATTGTCACTTGTCGAGCCGACAAGCCGAGCCGCGGCTCGGCCCTCTTCTCGTGTCTATTTTCCAGGGTTCGGGGTTGGGCTGTATTCGTGGATACCCCGATGTTCTCAACTATAGTGGGAAGGCCACCCCTGAATCAAAACGATTACTCGGAGTTTACTCGCCTGATTGCGGACTAGAAGTTGCGGGTTCAGGGGTCTAGGGGGCTTTGCATTCACGCGAGGCGAGTAGTACTTGCCTCGTTGTGGGTTGTAAAAAAAAAAAAACAAAATATATATATATATATATATATATATATATATTCGGCTCGAGTAAAAAAAAAGGTTCGCCTCAAAAGACGAGTAACGAGGCAAACTTTAGGGAAAAACTCAAGTAATGCTCACCTCACGATTTGTTCATGTCTAACTCCAGGCCCCCACTACATTTCAAACACTTAGTTCTCAACACGGAAATAGGATCATGCATTTGTTGCTAGGTTACAGTTGGATATTATCTTGTCGTGGTGCCTCCCCTAGACTAGACTCGTACAAGTAGACATGATCAAAACGCGATTGCGATTTAAATCGCATCGCATGCAGGTGCGATGTTTAAAAAAGCGATGCGATTTTAAATCGCATCGCGCGATTTATTTTTCCAAAAAAAAAAAAAAAAAATCGCAAATCGCATTTTACCCGCGATGTTTTTAAAAAGTCGCATGCGATATTTAATTAAATCGCATCGCGTTTTAAAACAGAATTTAAAAAACCCAAAAAAAACAGGAAAAAAACATGGCTGCGAGGAAATTTGACTCACGGGCAGTCGTAAGCTAGAGTGCAAATAACCAGCGTGGTTTCGTAGTGGGTTTCAGTGCAATATCGCACGCGATTTTAAAAAAATCGCATATCGCATTGAAATCGCGTTTTTTAGCGCGATTAAAATGCGATTTAAATTAAATCGCGCGACATTAATTCATCGCATCGCGCGATGATTTAAAAAAAAAAAAAAAAAAAACATCGCCATCGCAAAAACGCGATTAAATGCGATGCGATGCGATTTTTTTTGCCCATGTCTACGTACAAGGCCACGTTCCCAACGAATCTCCCCCCCTTTGTTTCCCTACTCCCTATCTTCAACCTTGCCCATCCCAATCAGCGATGTGGCTCATCGCTCTGTCTACCGCAGTGGAGTGGTGCCGCAGGACCTCTCCCGCCTCACTCAATTGCAGCACTTGTAAGTGGCTCCTGTGTGCACTTCCTACCTGCTGTGTAAGTTGCCTCAGTAATGATAATGGCCACGTTTTTGGCCGTGGCGGGATGGCATACATAGATATTGAGCAAGTGCAGGTTTGGGAATCACGGGAGGAAAATGGTTAGGGGCCAGTAGAAAATTTGTTTCTTCTAATGGAGATTGGCAAGAAGGTTGGAGCTGCTCATTGACAAAACGAAGTTAAGGAGAAGCGTTTGAAAGCCAAGATTACAAAGTGAGATCTTCCTCGTTGGGTAGCTACCTGAGCAGACGTATGAGCATGACTTTAACAAGCGAAGTGGCATGGTGCATAGCCTCAAATGTCCAAATCAAATCTTGTGAGTTCTCACGAATTCATTTATTGCACGCAACCGTTGCCCCAGTTGTGAAATGCTCTGGTTGTATGCTATCTGTCTGTCTGTTTCCTGCTGATTGACAGTGACGCCACGGGCAATGGATTGGTCGGCGTGCTGCCTGAATACTGGACCTCTCTGAACCACCTCACCTTTCTGTGAGCCCTGTTCGTTCGCTGCACAACTGCACCGCAACCCCGGTGTTCCATCCCGTTGCACGTGTTCTGATTTTATCTATCCGCTCTTTCGTCTTAGCCTAGCTATTATTGTGCTGGTCACGAGTGGTTGCTCTGCTTGTTTTTCGTTTCATCCATCCTGTGGAAGTGCTACACGTTGCTGTCTGAACATCATCAATGGGCCAAGCGCAGGAGTCTTTTTTTGAGAATTCTAAAAAATGACGCCAAGAGCAGGAGTCATTTCTTGGTCCTGCTTTGGCACTTTATTATCTACGTGGAAGTCTCTTGCAAAGATTGCTTGGATTTGTGTTTGTGGCACTTGGAGTGCAGGTCATTTTTAAATAACAAGATTGAAGGCTCCATCCCGTCAACATTCTCCGCCCTCACCACATTGTCCACACTGTATGTTTCTCAAACTGAATCGTAGACATCTTAAAGTGGATCATAGACATACCAAACATTCAAGTTACAAGTGCTCGTCTTGGATCTTGCATGCTTCATTCTACCTGAGGTCGATCCACTGTGTGGAGGCAGACCCTCTTTTTGCATCTGAAAGTTGGACTTTTAGTCAGGAAGTTCACAAAACACAATGAAGCAACATCAGTCAGTCCCACATCGTCTCTGTTGTAGAAAACACTTGGCATCTTAAGCTACCTAATTCTTATATCTTGGTCAGACCAATAATCGTTGCCCACATAATAACAAAAGTGTAACTAGTCGCAGAAAATCCTCACTCCGGCACATGCATGTTCTCTACCATTCTAATGCGGCGCATGGTTCAGGATATTGAAGGGCAACAGAATGGAAGGCACCATCCCACCCGTCTTCTCCACTTCACTCAGCAGCCTGTATATCCCCATCACTGCAGCCTCTTGCTTATCCTCTTGTTCTTTCAAAGGTCACATGCAGCCTACAACCTCTGCAGCCCCCTTTCTACTTCAAATATGCTGTTGGCTCAATAAACGACTTTCCACCCACCTTCCTCCGTTGATTCCTTGACGCCATTGCAGTAATCTCCAAGGAAATCGCTTTTTGGGCTCCATGCCTGCTTTTCTTGGTTCTCTTCCTGGCCTCACAACCCTGTCAGTTTTCAATGGCACTGCCTTGATCCTCTATGTCGAAGCCTTTCTTATCGGTTTCCCCAAAGCTCTGCTAGAATGCTCTTGCCGCTGCTTTTGTACAAGGTGCATCATAATTGAGTTGTCTCGACATGCTTGCTTCACTTTCAAACCAATGTGTTCTTTTCTGATTGTTTCAAGAGCAGTACCCTTGCACGTTGCACGGTTCCTCATGTCTCAAGTTTTGTGCGTCTCTCATCTCGTGATGCTTGCCAGGGAACTTGTTGGCAACAACTTCACAGGGGCGATTCCCAAGACTTTCACAAAGCTCAGCGGTGTTTCCTGGTTGTAAGGCTTGACTTGCGACTCTAGTGGTGTTGCCGAGTGGCATTGCCAAGGGTAGTGCCAAGTGGTAGTGCCAAGTGGTAGTGCCAAGTGGTATTGCATTGCCAAATGGTATTGCCAAGTAGACTTGAGCATTTTACCCGGTCGGGTCGCGGGTAGGCTTGAGCAAAACCGGGTAATTACCCGACCCGACCCGGTTTTGCAATACCCGACCTCGGGTCGGGTATTTTCGGGTCGGGTCCGGGTCGGGTAATATGCCCAGGACCCTTACCCTAGGCATGAGCAAAACCGGGTATTTACCCGACCCGACCCGGTTTTGCTATACCCGACTTCGGGTCGGGTATTTTCGGGTCGGGTATGGGTTGGGTAACATGCCCAGGACTAGGGTTGAGCAAACTACCCGACCGGGTCGGGTACCCGGTACCCGGACCCGCTTTTAGGGCGGGTCGGGTATTTGAAATCCTGTAAAATACCCGGCGGGTCGGGTCCGGGTTACCCGGGCGGGTATTTGATACCCGCTACCCGAATTTCTACCCGACGACGCGGGTAGCGGGTACCCGCCGGGTCGGGTATTACATACCCGAGTTCGGGTAAATACCCGAAGTCGGGTCGGGTATACCCGACCCGAAATCGGGTCGCGCTGCTACCCATCGGCAGCAGCGCGACCTAAATTGCAGGGGGTTGGAAATTTCGACCATTTGGTCGAAATTTCCAACCCAACTTTCCAGATCTAGTTTCGTTCCGTCCCTACCATAGACGCGCCACCTTAATACAGCGCCCGCATTAGTCTAAACACTCCCCGCATCCTAAACGTGTTCTCCCAACATTACTTAGGGTTTAGGTAACACAAAACGGAGGCGAGAACTTGGTTGCGCGTGGGAGTTAGGGTTTTGGAGATCTAGAGTTACACGAACTATTCGCCCACTCGAAATCCTTGCCGTAGCGCATAGTTTAGGGTACGGAACTGTCCCGTCATGCAATTCTACGACCGTGACGGGCGTCCCGTCCCTTTCGGGGGCGGGAGGGTTGAGGGTGGCGGGCTCCAGAGCGGTGCCATTCCTGGAGCATCTCTGACAGGCCTCCCTCTCCCTAGCGGCCGCCAGAGTTTTGCATTGGCGAGCGGTGTCCGTGCGGATGAGGGGGGAGAGGACGATGACTTCCTGGAAGAGGTGGAGGCGGGCGATGCAGGAGGGGGGGAGCATGGGGCAACCCATGGGGGGGGAACGGTGGGCAGGGTGGTGGAGGGGGGGGGGGGCGAGGGTGACCAGGAGTGGCATCCCAATGCGGAGGAAGAGGTGGACGAGGTGTCAGGAGATGGACCGGACAAGGGGAGGGGAGGGGAAGGGGGAGGGGAAGGGGGAGGGGGAGGGCGAGGGGGAGGGGCAGGGGAAGGGGAGAGGGAGGGGAAGAGGTCGCGGCCGTGGTGGACCTGGTGGGGGGAGGGCAGGGGCGATTGGTGCCGGCAGTGGCAGTAATAGTGCGGGGGAGATGGAGGTCGGTGGTGGGGATGCAGCGCGCTTTGGGGATGCTGAGGGCGTGGGGGAGGGGGTCATGCGGAGTGTGGTACGCTTGCGCCGGGGCGGCCTGTCACCCCACGTGGGGGGGGAGGGGGCACGGGTGGACAGCATAAGCGGTCGCGAGCGAGCGACAGCTCTCAGGTGACAGTCGGTTATTGGGGTACTGTCCCTGGGCTTATGCAGGGGATGTTCTTTCAGCCAGAGGGGGAGGATGGGGCGCGATGCTGCAAGGTATGCGAGGTGCCGATTGGTTGGGGTGAGAGCAGCACTGGTTCGGCGTGGAAGCACATGCGCTCGTTCCACATGCCTCACCTACAGATCTGGTATCGCCTATTCACTGATCCCAACAAGCAGCCGGGGTTGGAGTTTCCGGCGAAGGGGTACCCGGGGGTTCCAGGCGGACCAGACCCGTGGGAGCACGCTGACGCATACCCCGACCTCCAGAGTGCGGGCACGGGCGGTTCGGGTGCGAGTGTCGATGCGGGTCAACGGCAGATCCCTCAGTTCTTCGGTCGTCGCGTCACGCAGGAGCGTCTGCGCCACGCTCTCATCGAGCTGTTCGCAGACGCGGCCCTTCCGTTTCGCCTGGTCGACCGCCCCTCGGTAAGAACTGACAGAGACAAGTTTCTAAGCACATGCGCTCGTTCACATCTGCGCATTTTCAACCTCCCACGTGTTGTTATGGATTATCACCCCGACCATGTATAGCGGCACTTCTGCACACGTCCACCTACTCCCCCCTCCCCCTCCCTTGCCCTCCCTTCCCCAGTTCCGCCGCTACACCCGCCTCCTCAATCCTCCCGCTGCAGAAATGCTTGGCTCCCGTTTCCGCCTCGCTCGCGACATGCTCGTGCAGAGCGAAGCCGCGCGTGAGCGCCAGCTGCAGGACATTGTCGGCGATGGTGCGGCAGGGAAGGTCTCCCTCACCACGGACATTTGGTCCAGCCCGGCGCAAGATGCTTTCCTTGCCGTCACAGCGCACTGGATCACGACAGACTTTCAGCTGCGCCAGGCGCTGCTAGAGTTTGAGGAGATTCAGGGATCGCACACCGGGGTGCTGATTGCAGAGACATTGGAGAAAGTCATACTGGATTGGGGGCTGAAGGACTCTGTGCTCGGCATCACGACGGACAATGCCGAGAACAACATCAAGGCGCTCAAGATACTGACTGGCGATCCGGAGACCGAGGACGCCCGCAACCCACCAGTGTTGAACCCCGGATTCTTCTTCAGGTGTGTGGTGCATGCCATGCCATGCCATGCCATGCCATGCCATGCCATGCCATGCCATGCCATGCCATGCCATGCCATGCCATGCCATGCCATGCCATGCCATGCCATGCCATGCCATGCCATGCCATGCCATGCCATGCCATGTCGTGCCATGCCATGGACTTTCCTCCTTCAGGTGTCTGGCGCACACTCTGAACCTCGCGGTCCAGAAGGCACTTGGTGTCCCAGCAGTCCTCGAGCCGCTCAAGCGTATGCGGGAGATTGCATCGTTCATTGGGTGGAGCACGACGCGCTCGGACGCGTTCGAGGACGAGCAGCTGCGACTGGCAGGTCAGGGCGGCCACGTTCTCCGCCTCATCAGTGACACCCCCACGCGGTGGGGGTCGTCCTTTGAGATGGTGGAGCGCTTCCTGAAGCTGAAAGATCCTATCCTGCTGTACTTCTCAAGACTCGAGGTATGGTTCCCTATCTCCTGGGTTCCCATAATTCGCGTGTTTTTTTTTATTCCATTCGAAAATGCTGACAGTCTCCCAGGTCCGCCCATGCCTATTACCCTCCCCAACTATGAGTTTCCCCCTCTGCTACTGCGTGTTCCTCTGAATCCCCCATTCCACAGTCGGCACGTGACAAGCGGACGCGCGAACAGGCTGCACGTGTCCGCCTCGCGGACGCGCATTGGGACGCTCTGAGGGTTCTGGTGGAATTCCTCAAGCCCTTCCATGACATCACTACTGCGGCAGAGGGGTCGTTGTACCCCACTGCCGCAGCAGTGGTGCCGCAGTACAACCTGCTCATGGATGAGCTTGAGCGCCTCTACCACGACCCAAGTACCGGGGAGCTGTGCAAGCTGTTGTCGGAGGCAGCTCTAAAGGTACTGAAGAAGTATGTGTACGGCATCAGCATGGAGCTGGCAGTGGCGACATTTTTGGATCCCAGGTTCAAGCAGCTGTACTTCCAGCTTGAACGGTGGGAGGGGGCCCACCCTCAGCTAGCGGGAGAGGCCGCTGGGGGGCGTAGGGCGGTGCGCGACGTCACATTGGAGCAGGTGGTGACATGGGTCAGGGCGCGCTTGCAGTCTTACCTGGACGAGCAGAGCAGGCGTGCGGTGGACGGGGGCCAGGAGGGGACGAGCACAGGGGGAGCGCGGGACGGGGGGGGGAGGAGTGTTGCCAGGGCCCGAGGTGGGGGGCGCTTGTTTGACATGCTCGGCTCGGCAATGGCAGAGGTTGAGGCGAGAACGGGAGTGGCCGCGCCGGACGAGGTTCAGAGGTACCTGTAGGAGGCGCGCTTGGACATGGACGGGTGTCCGCTGCAATGGTGGCGCACGCGCTCGTCGTACCCGGGGTTGCAGGCGATGGCACGAGACTACCTTGCCATCCCTGCAACCTCGGCACCGAGCGAGCGGGCGTTCAGCCAGGGGCGGAACGTGGTCACCTGGCAGCGTCACCGCCTGAGCACTGCTCAGGTGCGTGCATCCATGACTCTCAAGTCATGGATGGCACAGCGCGCCGACGGCAGCCTCCCACTGGCGACGTTGGATTGGGCCATGGGGGGGCTGTGCCTTGAGGGTGACGACGAGGGGTTGTGAGGCGTGGGTACAGGGTTAGCCCCTATGAACAGTTTTTCCTGTGACGTACATTCGTGTCCTTGCTTGTGCCATGCCCGGACCCAGCATTGAGCTGTAGGGCCATGCAGACATGGCATCCTGCTTATCAAGTGATTGTGAACGTACGTAGAGTGAAATGTGTGCACTTAATTCATACTACGTATATCTACATCCAATGAAAACGAAACCCGAGGAAGCAACACAAGTAAGGTGTAGCGTGGTGGTGGCAACAAACCCCCTGAAATGCGTGCCAATTTTTTTTCCCATGACCACATTGCTGTCTCAACCCTAGGAGACAGTTAGACGAATACAGGGAAAAAAAAAAACTAAAAAAACACCTCGTTTAGGCCTTATTGAAAGGGCGGGTAGCATTACCCGCCTTTAAGCTATGCCGGGTCGGGTATACCCGGACCCGCCTGGCGGGTATTAAAATACCCGCCTAACAAAATCCGAGTCCGGGTAAGGGTCGTGAACATATTACCCGACCCGGACCCGACCCGAAATTACCCGACCCGAGGTCGGGTATAGCAAAACCGGGTCGGGTCGGGTATTTTCGGGTCGGGTACGGGTCGGGTAACATGCCCAGGACCAATGCCCGGACCCGGGATTTGGGGGCGGGTAATTTAATACCCGCCTGGCGGGTCCGGGTATACCCGACCCGGTTTCCTTAAAAAGCGGGTAGTATTACCCGCGTTTTTCTACCCTGTTGGGCTACTAAGCCTACGACCTAGATAGTGCTTCAAAAAACGTGAGTTGCGGGAGGGAGTATGAGGTGCGCCAAATCTTTAACAGCTCTGGTGTGGTGAGTGGGTCGTGAGTGGGGCCTGAGTGGGGAGTTGGTTGGGTTTTCTAGTTGGGATGGGGTTGTGTGCGGTTTCTGGGGGTTTGATTCTTTGACCCCCAGAGTCAATTGGTTGGAACTCCAACCAATGTGGTGCTGTGCAGTTGGCTGGATTCAGGTTGGGTTGCAAATTCGATTGGGGAAATTCGATTGGTTTGACTTCCAACCAATTCCCCCCAATTCAAACCACTCTGAATGCATCTGTATCCGGTTTTGCTCATGCCTATTGCCAAGTGGCATTGCCAAGTGGTATTGCCGAGTGGTATTGCCAAGTGGTAATTGCCGAGTGGCATTACCGAGTGGCATTGCCGAGTGGCATTGCCGAGTGGCTTTGCCGAGTGGCTTTGCCGAGTGGCGTTGCCGAGTGGCATTGCCTAGTGGAGTGGCGTTGCCAAGTGGCATTGCTGAGTGGCATTGCCGAGTGGCATTGCGGAGTGGCATTGCCGAGTGACATTGCCGAGTGGCTTTGCGGAGTGGCATTGCCGAGTGGCTTTGCCGACTGGCGTTGCCGAGTGGCATTGCCCAGTGGCATTAGCGAGTGGCATTGCCGAGTGGCATTGCTGCAGGTACATGGCATTGCACAGAGTCAGCCAATGTACACGGCAAGAGAGCACTGCAGTGATCAGCTTGTGTGGTTGAGTGCAAGCAGCCCAAGTGATAGACAGTCTAGGCTAATGGGGACACCAACAACCTGATTGTCTGGGGCTGAGACAACGTGCGTTTATGGTGCTTGGTCCTGGAAAGACTTTCTACTCTCTCTATCCTGCTCACTTCCTTCCCCGCCCCTGTTATTCTCCTTCCTCCTTTGTTCTCCCTTGGTCATTCTCTCCCTTTTGTTTTCCCATGCCCATTGCATATAATTTCTGGTCCCTGAATATGAGTCTTTCAGGTCGCTTTCCACCAACCAGTTAACATCAGGGCTTGATGTGATCACCGAGATGACTTGGCTTAGTTTTGTGTAATGTTCTGGTGATAGTTTTTGCTCGTTTATGGCAAAGCGGAAAGCGGCTTTAGTTCATATTCTTTCTCTCAAGAACTGTTCTAGGAGGGGCGTTATTGTGCGGTGGGCCAACGCACCCTCAGCCCCCAAGCTCACATGTATCCCTTCCCCACTGATCACAGCACCCCAGTGTTCCAGTTTTTACACTTTCAAGTTTCAACTTGCCATGTCCCGTCTTCTTTCTTTGTAATCCGTCGATTGAATCGGAATGTTTTTTATGCCTTTTCGACTCTTCGATTATCACAGTGATGCTGGTTTCAACAACTTCTCTGAAAGCTTTCCTGATCTGTCAACCTTACCTTCACTCATGGGGCTGTGAGTCGCCTCTTTGAATTGTCAGCCCTTAACTAACGAACCTTCTCTGCAAGATCCTTATAGAACGTTTAAGTGCCAAGTATACCTCTAAGATCCTCAATCTAAACAATATTGGCTTCGTTGTTTTCAATCCCTTAGCTGGTTTGAAAATTGAAACACACAAACTTTTTGTGGCGTGGTCATTATTTCCTCCATACAGGTTCATCCGAGGAAACAACATCAAAGGGACTTTCCCTAGTGTCTTGTTGAAGCTCACCAACCTCGCAGACTTGTACGTCAGACAAGTTGCGTGTGGGACATTTTGGAAACCCTTTTTGTAAATATGGCGAAGAAGAGGACTTCTGCTTGATCCGTGTAGTTTGCTAGTGGGAGCTATGAGTGGCAGGGACTGTGTATGGGTGGCTCTGTCTCATTCACAATCCTGCTGCTCATAGCTCCCCACTAGCAAACTACACTAGCTCCCACAATCCTTGCGTCGCTATCGTTAGACAGACTGCGCGATGCAATGCAATGTTTATCGCGCGATATTTTTATATCGCATTTCTATCGCACCCTTCCGCTGCGATATATGTGCGATATAAAAGTATCGCACGCGATAGCGTCGCGGAATTTGCCAGCGAAGGGGTTGGAATAGACATGGGTAAAGGTTGGAGTTTCTACATGGGGAGGAGTTAAGTGCGGTGAAAGGCAGGGAGTCGGTTGGAACTTGGACGGCCCCAAGAAAACGCGACTCTCATTTGAGAGTCGCGTTTTCAGAAACCCTAGCTAGCCTAGCCCGCTCTTAGGTGGCCCGCTAGTAGGTGGCGGGTGCAAATACCCACTTTCTGGGTCGGGTTACCCGACTCGCCAGGCGGGTATTGCATTACCCGCCCCCAAACGTCAGGTCGGGGTAAGGGTCCTGGGCCAATTACCCGACCCGTACCCGATCCAAAAATACCCGACCCGAAGTCGGGTATTGCAAAACCGGGCCATGTCGGGTAATTACCCGGTTTTGCTCAACCGTAGCGTAGCGTGGAGTCATTAATTCTTTACACTTCAATAATTTTCCTCGCCAACATGTTTCAGAGAGACTGCCTCCTTGGGTACTCGTCCCTTTGTTGCAGGGATTTGGGGCAGAATGGATTCCATGGGTCCATCCCTGAAGACATATCCGAGCTCTCAAGCTTAAGCATGCTGTATGTCATCACTTGCCCAAAACATTGCCCCTGCTAGCATGGAATGGAGGTGACACCTAGCTATTGATATTTCGGCCATATATATATGGGCCCCAAGCACATAACTACTTGGAACGGTTGAATGGAGCTTAACTACTTGTCTGTCCGCCTCTCTGCATGTCTGCCTATCTGCTCATCTGTCCGTGCTTACAATTCTCCTCTTGTCATTCACACGGCCCGATATGGTTAGATCGCATAGCATCGTATCGTATGTATGGCGTTTTGGCGATAGCGATTTTTTTTTCCCAGGAAAAAATATATCGCTGTGCGATGATTTTTATCGCACGTTATTTTTCTATCGCCTTTTTATCGCACCCACCCGCTGCGATATAACATGATATGCGATAAAAATTGTCGCGCGATGCGATGTAGTATCGCAGCACAAACCTATGCGATATAAGGAAATGCGATGCGATATAATATCGCATCGCGTTTCAACCATGTCTGGCATTCGTTGGAACATGCTGACTATTCTCGCATATCTCCCGTCTCTGTATTTGTTAGATATCTGGACGGCAATAACTTCGACGAAGAAATTCCTTCGGCGCTCTTCACCCTTCCGTATATTTCATATCTGTAAGTGTGGACGGTAAAGGGTGATAAGGGGGAAGGGTGGTTGGGGTAAGAGCTAGGTATATGGAAGAGGAGGGTTGATAAAGAGTTGCCGTACAGAGAACAGTAGCAGTATGTATTGGAAAGCATGGCCTTCGGTATGTCTATGGTGTGGAGGACCTCTAATTAGAGACAATTTGGATTGGGAGGGGGCAGGAAGCGGAGGACATGGCAATTCAAAGAACAAAGAACCAAAGAACATATGAAACCAGGGGGAATTCCTCGGGATTGTGGTACTGCAGGGTTCAAAGGAAGGCATTGGGAAATCAACATCGAAGCCCAGGCTGCAAGAGGGATTCAGGGCAGAGCGGTAGTACATCTCCTATGTTTAACCAAAGACTACCTTAGCCAATTCTGTGTGCAAATGAAGAATGATATGCTTGGAATATTCTACCAATGACCATGAGTCTGTGTCCCCAATTACCGTTCTCTTCTTGTGCAACCTTCAGAGACTTGAACAACAACCGTTTGAATGGACGCCTGCCAAGCAGTTTATCAAGTACTTCCCTTGGCGGTCTGTATGTGTCCAAGGCATTCCAGCAAACCTTTCTTCCTCCTTGCGTGCGCCTAGGCTTCTAAGCCATTTCATGCTTATTTGACTCCTCTCTCTGTCCGGCTGTGTTTTGGCAACAGAAACCTTGAAGGAAATAACCTATCAGGGTCCCTGCCTGATTTTTCAAACTGGAACGCTTCTTTATATTACCTGTAAGTCCCACCCAAGAGCATAACATACTTGGTACGGGCGAATATATATATGCCCGCATTATAAATAGCTACCGTAGGATTAAAGTTTTTCCATGCTTTTTCTTCGTCTTCTTCATGTGATTTCTTTTGTTCGTTCGCCCAGTTCTGCCTTTTACTGGAAATTTCTAAAAGACCGTTCAAGCAAGTGACCCCCGTCGTCCTGAGACAAGGATACAGTTTGTTAGCGTGCTGTTTGAAACCTTCCGGACGTGAACTCACCGTGAAGATTGCTTGCCTTCTCTTGTTGCAAACGAGGCAGCAACCACTACCATGGACTTTGCTCCTTATTTCTTATCACGTGCCCTCACCCACACATCCACCATCCCTGCAGATAGTTGCGCAAGAACCAGCTTTCAGGAACCATCCCTACAGCTCTGGTCACGTTAAACAGCCTTGCCATCCTGTAATCACACTTTCCTGCACACCAGCCCTGTGCCATGTGCCACTGCTACCCTCATGCTCGTTCTCTCCACGCCGTCATGGTTTGCTCCATCCACGTGCAGCCCACTCCCTGGCACATGTTCAGGTGCATATGAGTCGGCTCGAAATGCACTGCGTCCCACCCCCTGGCTGGCACCTATTCAGCTCACGTACGACTCTTTGATCATCTCATACGGGAAACGGTCTCGTCTCTTCATACAACCCCGTACCTCTCAAAACATATGTCCGCACCGCAAACTTCGGGAAACGATTTCTTCTCTAAATAAATAGCAAAAGTGTCAAGTGCTACGCATCCCTCATCCATCCACCCCCACCAGAGACCTCGCCTCCAACAGCATCTCAGGGCCCTTGCCCTCTGCCTTTGGTGCGCTCTCCAACCTTATCGGACTGTATGTGTTTTACGTGACATGCCATGCCACCATCATGCTTCTATGGGTTCCCAGTGTAGCGCGAGCAAATCTACACCATCTTCAGTTATTCGATGCAAACCTTGTTCGTAAGTGCTGGACAATGGCACACTGCTGAAGTGAATGGCATTTGAAACACGACACGATACTGCACTTGCTCTCCCCCCACTTGAGAGCTCTCATGACTTGCTGTTGGTTGGGTGCTGGCAGGTCTGTGTATGACAACCAGCTCACGGGCAAGCTCCCTTCTTCCATATGCGATCTCACCCAGCTAATAATCATGTACTACTCTCTTCTGACCATGGCCCTTCTGAACATTCATGCTAACCGAAGTATCACTTTTGCCCACAGCACTGCTTCCGCATGTCAGAACATATTTGCCTTGTTCTGTCGGAAACACAGGGACCCGCTGATGCCCGTTCTAAATGCCCTTTCTTCTTGGCCTCACGCTCACTTCAGGTATATCCGCAACAACTACTTCTATGGGGAATTTCCTTCGTGTCTTTACGAGCATTGCCTGCACAGGATGTGAGTGAATCTGGGTGCCTTGCCGGAGCAACCCTAGCCTTTATATAACCATGGCAGAAACAAAGGCCTTGATCAAGGGTCTGCCTGTGAGGAATTGGATTTTTTGTCACAGCACGTCTACAAAGGCATTTCATTCCGACGCAGGGTACCTTAAAACCAGGCAAAACTCCCAAGCACCAGGGAAATGAGGCCCAGAACCAGATTGCACACCAGATTACCGCACATGACACCAGGGAAATGAGGCCCAGAAAGTCTGTCCTCCCTTCCGTTCCTTCTCGTGCTCCCCTCCAGTGACATCAGCAACAACAGCTTCTACGGGCCCATCAACAGCAACTTCCACGGCATGATTCCCAACGATGGCGCTCTGCTCAACATCGCAGGCAACTACTTCTACGGTGACCCCATGCTCTATGCCGATGGCTGCCAGTTCTGCCCCTCGGGAAGCATCGAGCCCGATGCCCTTGACATTGTCGAGCTCGGGATGGATAGGAGGGGGCGTTGTGGCGAACGTCCTTTCCAAGCTCTCCCAGGGGCCAACAAGCGGGGCGCGGCAAGTCTGCGTTTGAACTGCTTCACGCTGAGCGCGCAGCTAGAGTGCACGGCGAACGAGACGCAGCGCAGCAACGACACGTGTCTGGCATTCTGCAGCATGTCACGGGAGCTGGGGCCGTGCGACGGGCACGGAGCGTGTGTGCCACAGCAGGCGGGGGCAGCAGGGGCGGGGTTCACGTGTGAGTGTGACGACGGATACGTCACTGCCAATGGCTCCCTCGGCTCCACCTGCGCCCGCCCTTCTCCGCCCCCCTCGGCAGGTATGCTGTGTGGATGATTGAAGTAGGCGAGATCAAAGAGTGTGGGTTGCAAGACAAGGTGGCATATGAGTCTTGGTAAAGGCATGTAAATGGGAAATTTTGACAAGCATAGCATCTAGCCAATTGGCACTCTTATGATCAATATTCATTATTTTTATTACTACCTCTGGGCTGGCCAGTAACAAGTCTGTGGTTAGTATCAAACCAAATACTGCGTATGGAGAGTACAGACCGTGTGAGCATAAGATGCATGGTTTTTTTTTTTTTTTTTTTTTTTTTTTTTGTGGACTATGGTGACAAGCTGCTCATCGTCAAACGTTAGACCTTGCCGACTGACCAAGTTGAGAGGCTAGGCTGGTGCCTAACCTCTGAATTTGTTTAGGGAGTTAAAACACCTCAAACAAGTGTATAATCTAGAAGAACTCAGGAGCTGTTGAATGTGAATACCAAGTCCGTGGTTCGAGCCTTGGTGGTGACGGACCACCTTTCTTTTCCTCTTCGCCCTTCTCCAACTTGACGCCCATGTCTGCCTCCCCTCTAACCCTCTCCCGTAATCCTCTCCCTCCCCTCTCCCCTTCTCCCATCCTCCCTCAGTAATCTCCACAGGCGTAGTGGTGGGCATCGCTGTGGGTTCTGCTGCCACCTTTGCTCTCCTCCTCGCTCTCATTGTGGCGCTGCTCTGGCCCAGACAACGCAGTAAGTCCCCCCAACCTGCACTCCTGCATCCGTATAACTCTCGAATCCACACTTGATGAAATGAAAAAGCAGCTAGCACAGGTGAAACAGAGCGGCCACTATTGTGCTCATTCTGCTGCCTCCATGCTGTGCATCAGGGAAGTGGAGCGACCTGGACGTGTGCCACGAGTTCAGCATGGGGGAAATTCTGCGGGCAACACACCAGTGGTCGAGTGATAGTGTGCTTGGGAAGGGCGGCTTTGCCACGGTGTACAAGGGGGTGTCGGAGAAAGGCGACCTGTGGGCTGTGAAGCGCAATGAGCTCATGTCGAACGACTTCGAAAAGGAGGTCAGAGGAACGCCTAGGGAGAAAGCATTTTTTTTCATCGAAGGCCATGGGCTCAGCTGACTATGGACTCAAGTGTGTGACTTGCGGGGTGTGCCATTTTTAAGTCGAAACTCATTTGTGACTTCAAGTATGTGAGCTTATACCACTAGTCTTCTTATACTGCCACTCTGTTAACCCCCCTCCTCCCTCACTGTCAGGTGCGGGCGATGGCGTCGCTGCGGCATGAGAATGTGGTGCGGCTGTTGGGCTTCTGCCTGCATCAGAATGTGCAGAGCGGCCAGCAGGAGCAGATCCTCGTGTACGAGTTCGTGGGCAACGGGGACCTCAAGCACCACATCCACCACTCCAAGAGTACGTTGCCCACTTGATCCACCGTCTCTGTTAGAGTTGACCATGGGACCTCAAGCACCAGATCCTTGACTCCAAGAGTATGGTATTGTATACCCTCCAACCACCCTTGTGTTGTGCTGTGTGATGTCATCACTTGCTATCACATGCGTTCCACATTTCATGCCATGTTCTTTCCTTTGTATGCATGGTTTGGATGTGAAAACAGGTTCTCTGTTTGTGCGGTGTTTTGGAATTTGTAGATTTGGAGCATACTGAGCAAGTATCTGCTCCAGCATGTTGATGCATATTCTGTGTAACTAGCAAGCTGGCTACCTTGCCACTTAGCCGTTGTATTGCTGTCTGATCCGTGATTCTCAGCCTATTTTGTGCCTCATTCACATTGTTTTTAAACGATGTTCTGTTCCGGTGCTCAAGATAGCTTCTCGTATCCTCCTCTCTCACCCTGCCCCTCAATTTCTCATCCTCAGATTATCTGGTCCTCGCCCTTCCACCCCTTTTGTGTCTCACCATAGGCACCAATTCCTCATGTCCTACCGTCAATTTGGATTAGTTTTCTCAACTCGCAGTTGTTCGCAGTTCATGTTGTGTCTTGATTCTATGAGGCACATGCCCCTTCCTCCTCACCTTCCTTCCTCTATTCTACCCACTCTCACCCCCTCTCCCACCCCGCCCTTTTCCCGCAGCCCCCCTGTCCCTGCGGAAGCGACTGCAGCTGGCGGCGGGTGCAGCGGAGGGAGTTGCCTATTTGCACAGCTTTGAGACACCCAT